CTAAGATTGCGGATATAAAGAGGTGAAGAAAGAACAAGAAAGACCAAACGATGAGAAAGAGTTAATATAATTTTCAAGAGCTCTCTCTCTCTTTCTCCCTCACTCATTTACACACACACACACGAGCGCACAGCCGCGGGTCAAAGGGCAAGGGAATATTTTGATTTTCCAATGAGAGAAGAGTTCCATTTGTTTACAAAATGGCTGCGCCCTTACGACCGACCGGAGTGTTGTGTCTGCTCTCTCGGATTCACAATGTGAAAGTCAACAATCACTTAAATGTTCTAAATTTTCCCCAACACTTTTACAGCCACTTCTCTCCATTAGCTACATATAAATCTAAAGCGGTTTGTGTATCTTTGACGCTTCCTAATGGAAGCTCAAGGAGAGAAAAAAATGTGCTGTCAAAGCAGAAGTCTACCGACAGTTCCACAAGCAGAACACACTTTCCCGAGAAAGTTGGACCGACAAAAGAGGGAACTCTGACCCCCTCAATGAACGGAGATTTGAACAACGGCCGTCTTGGTCACTTCATGCAGATGTACGAAGACTTTGTCGGACTTACTGAAGTCAAACATGCCCAAGACAAAGTTGTGAAGGTGAGTCACGTCCACCTCTCCCCCACCTACTCGACACACTGCTACGCTACACTTTGTCTCTGCACAACCTCCTTTTTTCGTACGGCTTTCTTTTCGTACTCTAGATCTAGAGTCTAGTACTAGATTTCTAGATCTAGTACCAACATTTGTGCGGATAATGATTGCAGCTGTAGATGCTGAATTGTGACGAATGTGCTGTGTGTGTAAAGTCCAGCTTTTGAAATGGTGGGTCTTATCTGGTCATTTTGGAGATTTTAAAGGGTTAACTGGTTGGATCTTGAGTTTAAAAGTGGGCTGCGTTGCGCCCCCACACTGTTATGTTGCCTGGTCTGGTGTGCCCCCCTATTCTAATTTGTCTCTCACTTTAAGTCCAGTGGTGCATGCACTGCCACCTAAAATTGTTAACCTTCAGAATGATTGGAATTTGATCTGGGACACAAACTCACTAGAATTTTGGGCACTTTTTCGGTAGTTCCCATCCCGCAACTGTTATTCGCCGGTTTTGGCCCCAAGAGAAAGGGGGTTTCAGGGGGGCTAAAAATATGGTGGGGGGTTTCAGGGGGCATGCTCCCCTGAATTTTACCATAATTTGATGTTTTGCAGTTGTTAGCTTTGATATCTTAGCTCGCCACGGATCAAACATAGTCAACTCCTACTGTTTGAATGCTTTGATGTTCCCTTTAATTTCGTTGACTGTCCCCAGACGGAGCAACAGTTTCTCTTTTGTTTGTTGACTTAGTCTTACTCAACTGTGTTACTCTTACAACAAGTCGTAGGCCTACTCCTTGTTTTATTCAGCAAGCTTTGTGGAAAATATGTATGCATGACGTTTGCATTTTCATCATGAGAAAACCCCCCTGGTTTCAAGCTCAAAGTTTTTATTAACCACCACGTTCAGAAAATCAGAAAAAAATGAATTTTGATTTATATGAGGATATAGCAAGTAACTTGTAGTAAAGGCAAAAAAATATTCATTATGAAAGATAAATGAGGAATAAAAGAAAAAGCATTTTGCAGCATCTAGTCAGTAGATATGCTAACCCCTGTAGGAGTTAATGTCTTGATGTTCCTTTTTGTTTCCTCGACTCTCCCCAGGCGGAGCAGCAGTTTCTCCAGGTACAGGAGGACAGACGGACCATGCAACAAGAACTCACAACGGTGCAGGCAGAGGTTCGAACCCTGGGGGCAGAACTAGAGAAAACCAATCGCACAGACTCCAAGTACATCGACCTGGTCAAGAAAGAGCACGAGATTCTCCTGGTGGAGAAGGACATGACCAACAGGATCAAGGCCCTGGACAAAGCCGAGAGGGATTTCTTCTCTCTGCTCAGCGCTGCCGTCCGCGAGAGCCACGAGAAAGAGAGAGCCCGGGCGGAGAAGACCAAGTACTGGTCCATCATCGGCTCAGTGATTGGAGCTATTATTGGAATCGTGGGGTCGACTGTCAACAACCATCGGAGGATGACGCAGATGAGGGCAATTCTCACTGAGTCAGGGGAGAGCACTGCAGAGTATAAAGCTATGACAGACAAATTGTTACAAACTATTAGCCAGAATTCAACTTCCGAGAGCTTTCATTTTATCCAGAACACAGAGAGTGGTGATGTGAACACACAAAAGCAAAAATTTGAACCCGATTCCTTCGTGGTCAGCTCGCAGCTGATGGAGAAACAAAGGGAGGAAATTCTACACAGCATAGATAAACAATCAGCGGTTGTTATTTCTCAACTCGACGAAATTCACCGACTTGTCGGAGTCCAACGAGCCCAGCAAGGGGAGACAAATGTGGTGTATGTCGGGCCGGAGATCCAGACGATGTTAGAGAGTACGCGGGAGAGTCTAGGAGAGAGGATGAAACAGAACACGCTGGCGTCTACTGCGGCTATCTCCGGCGTGTTGTCCATTGGCATTCTGGCGCTGGTTTATGTCATCAGAGGCTCATCTTGACCTGTACCGTCTACCATTACTACCAAGGGTCTGTCCCCGTGGTTTTATGCACTCCGCATAATTTAGCGAAATTTGACCATTTTTTTTCATAATTTCTTATTATTTTTTCCTTTATCTTTCTTTGTTAAAAAAAAAAAAATCGCTTAATTTCACATTTTTGGGGTCAGTTTGCTTAAAATGACGGGGACAGAGGGGAGCTAGCCAGTGAGGAGAGGTATTCCTACAACTTTCAATGTTACTTGTGTGGCATTGTTGTGAAATCGAGTGCTTGTTAAAATAATATTATCATGAAATCAAAGAAACCTCCATTTTTCAGCTTGTTGGGCAATTTTCATCTTTTTTTTTTTGTTCATCACATATAATGTCCATTGAAAAACTCATTTCTACTGTGCGGATTTTGCTGAAGAACTTTGACCAAAGGCACAAAAAATGTACATTTTTGCAATTTCCAAGAACACTCAAGCATGGAAGACACTTATTGGCAGCCATTTTCTCGCTGCTAATTTATCCTGTAAAACCGCGTGAACCCCCACTTCCTTCAATCGCAATTTATATCTCAACTTCTATTTAAAGGAAAGATGGGTATTTTTTCATTAAAAACCAAGTCAAAAGAACAGGCTTTATTAAGATGATACCAATAACTCCATATGGCCAAAAATTGCCAAGCGCCCAATTTCACGTGTCGTGACACATCTGTTATCATGATGATAGTACAATTGCTTGAGTCATTTTTTTCCAGGTTTCCAGATTATTGGTAGCCTACCAGTACCGTATGGTAAAAATTCCTGTCTTTTTTTAAATACCTGCAGTATAGCAGGATTTTGTTTTATGTACTAAAAATCCAATTATTAAGACATTTACATTTTTGTGCAAATTATGTCATAAAGCTGACCCTGTTTTTAAAGATTTCTCAAAAAAGAAAAATATGACTCGAGCAGTTGTGTTATGATTATGACAGTGACAATCTGTACAGTATCAAGGTTACCTACAGGTGTCGCTAATACTTACAGAACCGGTACCCCTCAAGTATAAGTATGGAATGTTCCAGAATTTTTATATTTATTGATAACTCATGCAATCGTAATACATAGCTCATGTCTCCTAGATGAATGCAAAGTCAGCATTTCTATGTGCTCACTTCACAAGGAAAATCTGAAATCCCACTCATTGCCAGAGGTAACCATAATCAGTGTACGGTTCCAACGACACAATTCTGCTTGAATTTTAAATCCACTTCTACTTTAGTTATTTAGATATTTAATGCCACTCTCCATTAATGTATTTTTCACACACATTGAAATTTGATTATGTTTGGAGAAAAATATATATGTAGGTCTCAAAAGAACAGATTCTTTGTGGTTTGATTTTTTAATTTAATTCTTTTTAAAATATTAGGATCATTATCATATATATGAGTATTACAAGGGGAAATGTCCAGTTTGAAACTTTTTGAAACAACATTTATAAAGTTCTTGTATTGCAATCTTTGTTGTCAAAGATTTTTCTTATATTTGTATCCGCAAAATGAAATCTATTACTATTAGTATTATTAGTGGCGTAGGCCAAAACAGAATTTATTAATAATATTGCTCCTCAGGTCAGTGATGGTCAAAGTCAAAATGAAATTATTTATGGGAGAGGAGGTGAAGAAGGGGAAGAGATACAGAGGTAAAAGAGTGAGAGAGGGAAAGGGAAAGAGATGTGATGAGAGAAAAGAGAGAGAGAGAGTGAAAGGGAGAGAAAGAGATGCAGAGTGAAAGAAAGAAAAATATTTTGATATATATAGAGAGAGATAGAGACTTGGAGAGAGAGAGAGAGAGGGAGAGAGAGAGAAAAAGAGAGAGACACACACACAGAGAGAGTCATATGATTTACCATTGTCATCAATAACTATACAGAAACTGTGTTACTGGACAATTGTGACAGATTTTTGTGTATTGTAGATCTGTGCTTTTACCGTTATAATAGATTGTTCACCTTTTGTATTGAATGTACAGTGAAGACTATTTTGAACTATTTAAATCAGTCTGTGGGCTCAGGATAGTTTCTGTACTTTCTTTGGTTTAAGAGATAATTTATTAATGTTAAATAAAGAATGTGTTTTCAGTTTCTAAGTGCTATGTGTATAAAAATATAAAGACAAATCTGCCACAATCATGAATCCTGATGTGTCCATCTTTTAACTTAGACAGTTTCCTGTTTACATGTCGTCATAAAAATCTATATTTTTCTTAAAACTAGGAATTTGGACATAGTCACCTCTAGCTGTCAATTGTCCGCTGACGATATTTGTAACTGTATGTAATCCGACATAGATATTATAAAAATCTGAGGCATGGTAAAATAAAAAAACTCAGGTTACAATACGTCTTTTTACTCTAAATATATCTACTTAACCAGTAATGTGGAGGGTGCTTTTGCCGTTATGTCAGTAATCATAAGCACACACAGTGAACAGATTTTTAGGTTCCCGAATTTTTTTTGTTAATTATGCAAGTAGGCCTATTTCCTTTGCATTTA